CCCGAGCTGATCAAGTTGCTGGCCCTCAACGGCATTACCAGCGACAGCATCATCAAGTGCATCAAGGCCATGGAATGTGATGCATGCCGCCGTTCAGTTGGACCACGAGCTCCAAACCCTGCTAGCTCTTCCGGCGGACAAACCATTGGCCAGTTTGCAGACAACCTCCAGGCAGACATCTTCTACCTGCGAGACATTACCTCCAAGAACTACCCGATTTTGGGCATCATTTGTGAAGCCACCCATCTACATGCCGCGATTCGCCTTGAGTCTCGACGGCCAGATGATGTGTTGAACGGTTTCCAAGATGCCTGGTTCAGAAACTTTGGTTTTCCTCTTCAACTTAACGTTGATGACGATGGATGCTTCAAAGGCAACTTTCACGATGCAATGGATGATGCTGGAGTTTTTCTTCACTTTATTGCCCCTGAAGCCCATCACCAGATTGGTACCATTGAAAGGCACAATGGGACACTGCGCACAATTTTGGAGAAGATCGTGGACTCAACACCATGCGCCACGACAGATGAGATTGACAGAGCAGTGATTTCCGGTGTCTACGCCAAGAATGCGGCGACATGGACCTCTGGAAGACCTCCCTACATAGCAGCTTTTGGCAAGATCCCTCGCGTTGGCATGGACTTCATCAACGACGAGAGGGGTTTGATTGCAGGTTCAACTACGGCTGAAGCTCAGCAACAAGCTGCAATGATGAGATGCGAGGCCATGAAGGCCATAGCTGAAGCTTCTGCATCTTCGACCTTGAGGAGGGCACTTTTGAGGAAGACCAATCCAGAAAACATTCTGGAACCCACGCCTGGCTCGTTGCTTGCCTACTGGCGTTGGACAACAAGATCCCACAGAAAGCGAGGTGGCTACAGAATAGCCAGATACCTTGGCAAGGATCCTGACAACAGAACTTTATGGTTGCAGTCCGGTCCCCAGACAGTGCGAGTTGCGCACAACCAAGTCCGTGATGTCTTTGGGTATGAACAGTTTGTTTCAACCCCAGAGGATGTGAAAGCTTTGCATGATGCTGAACAAAATCTACGGCAAGATCAATGGGTGGACCACCAACTACCTGCTGAAGTTCAACCACCCGAACTACCACAACCTGACGACCTGGAATTCCAATTTCCAGAGGCACCAATCGTAGTTCAACCAGAAGTTCCTCTTTCAGTACCACCACAACCTTCTCATCTACGACAACAACCTGATTTACCACCACCTGAGGAGCAAATTCAACAACATGAACTAGAACAAACAACCAAGACAAGCATACGTTTTCAACAGAACATACAAAACACACAAAACATCTTTGGATCACAGCCAGCATCACCAGCAGCAGCACCTTTCACACCATCACGCAGGATTCCCTCACGCAAAGCACTGGGCAGGTCGAGAACACCGACTCGACGTGGGATAGCCAACACTGAAGCAACAGCACAGCAACCAGAAACAACAACACAACCTGCTCAACTGGAAGATGCGACAGCGGCAGCATCTGACCCATACCAGCAAGCAGGAGGAAGCACAGCAGGCCAGCAGGCCAGAGACCTACAGTCTCACCACGGCACAGCACAACAATCTGGAAGCCGACCGGCATCCAGACAGAATTCAGCACCGAATTCAATTGTTTCACGAAATGCAATGGCTGAACCACAGCCAACACAACATGCAGCAGCAGAGCAACAGCAGCCACAGCGCATCGAAACCTTTGACCTGACTGGAGGTGACGACACACCAGACATTGGTGACATGGTCCCACAAACACCACCAGCAGAAGCAGCAGCTTCTTCATCACAGCAAGCAATGGACGCAGACAGCATTTTGCCGTCAAAGCGACCTTACGATGCACTACTGGCAGGAACAACACAAGCAAGAAAAGTCACAGACACAAGCTTCGAGCTCTACAACTATGAGCCAACACTGCAGCCTGTGCAAAAACATTTGCACTGTTGGGCAAGGCTTGACATACAAGCAAAGCACCCACAGCAAACAATGAGCACAGGACCAGCAATGAGCACAGTGCGATGGCGACGCACCATCAACGCAAACACAGGTGAAACAACCACCAACGGCACAGTGCCAACAGCAGAACAAGACAAGCAGAACACCTACGGGACAGCAAGAACAACAATCACAGAGCTATGGCACACAGCTCAAGCACCACAGTACACCTTCCATGCGACCGACAATGCATTGGAAGAAATTGAACAAGCATGGGACGGCAGTCCTGAAAACTATGGGCCTTCCTACAGCAGCAAGTTCTTTGAGACCTACGTGACCAAGCTGGCATCTACTGTCAATGACTTTGACACCACCCTTTCAGAGTCAGAAGGTGGGTTTGACGATATGTCAAAAGGTATGCCAGCGAAGACACGTCAAGAGCAGAAGGCCGATGAAAAGGAGCTCAGCTGGAGGGACATCATGAAGCAGTCGCCTGACTACATTCAAGGCTTTGTTGAAGCAGTGCAGAAGGAAGCTAAGAGCTTTGAACAATGGCGATGCTTGAGACCTATTCCTCCAGAAGAAGAACAAGAAATCATGAGCAATCCTGAACTCAAGAAGCGGGTGATCAACTCCAGAGGATGCTACAGAGACAAGAACAAAGGAGTTCCACCTCTCAATGCAAAAGCACGTATAGTGGCACAGGGAAACCAAGACCCAGATCTACGATCTTTGACCAGGCAGTCACCAACACCAAACAGAGTTTCTGAGTTCTTGGTGATGGCAATCTTTGTGTCGGGCATCAACCAGATGGCTTTCGACTCAGCACTTCGATGGAAACTATGGATTGCCGATGCAGCGACTGCATTTCTTCAAGGAGCACAAGACATGACAGAGCGCGCTGGAAAACTTTATCTTCGAGCACCACGAGATGAAATCATCAAGCGTGCCAATGTGTTCAAGTCCATGCTCTACGAGATCACTGGGAACTTCTATGGGTTGTCAAATGCTCCAGTTACTTGGGCAAGGGAAGTGGTTGCAAGATTGCGTAAGCTAGGCTTCATCATGCACTCCTTCGACCACATGATGTTCTACTTCCCGGACCCCTACAACAAGCCCTATCCTTGCGCAGTTCTCATTTGCCATGTGGATGACTTCATGCTTACGTATAACGACAACTTCCCCTTCGATGAGCTGCTGAAAGCCTTCAAGTGGGGCCACCATCAACATGCTGAAGTGGGGAAGGAGTTCACCTACAAGGGCAAAGAATTTGCACTGATCCAGGAGAACGGGCAATATTTGTTGAAAGTAACCCAAAAAGGTTTTATTGAAGGTATGCAAAAGGGAAAACTTCCAAGGGGCATAGATAAAACCCAAAAGCTGACAAACCTTGACTGGCCGGAATTTCGCTCCATCACTGGATGTTTGCAGTGGCTCTCATCTCAGACGCGACTGGATGTGGCGAGCACTGTATCTTTGATGAACCATGGGAGCGACACCGCCTATGACCATTTGGGGACGCTCTACAAAGCTTTGGAATTTTTGAAACTGACTGCAGATATGGGGATCATCATTCACCCTGTTCCTTTGAATCCTGGCACGACGATTGTGGCCTTTTCAGATTCTTCATGGGCGAACGCTCAGGGCTCTGCGAGTCAACATGGACAAGTTCTTTTGCTTGCGCCTCCGAATGTGACTGAGAGTAAGGCAGTTGGAGCTTTGATTGACTGGAAAAGCGGTCGCTCAAAGCGAGTTTGTCGTAGCACCCTAGCAGCTGAAGCAGTTTCCGCTGACAGTGCCACAGACAGGTTGGCATATGCTAGCTATGCTCTAGGTGAATTGATGTTTGGGATTCCTGCACACAAGGTAGGACATCGGCTGAAGACCTTGCTAGTCACCGCCTGCAAGTCTTTGTATGACTGTGTTGCAGCAGACAATCCAAACATCCAAGACAAACGAAGTCTTGTGAACATACGTTCAGTTCAAGAGCTGATTAGCAGCCGCACCATTCACTGGGTGCCAACCTCCCTTCAGAAGGCTGATTGTCTCACGAAGGTGAACGAAGAGTTGATGGCAGATTTGTTGGCTTGGCTTCAGAAACCAATTATCCAATTGAGAGAAGAAAAATCACATGTGTTCCAAAAGAGGATTTTACCAGTGTGAATTTCTGTTGCCAGCCACCGTTGTCACACATGCTGCCAGGTACCACTCTTTCAATTGCATGTGCATGCTGCGATTCTTTGAGGATCCCGAGCCTTGTTTTTAGCCTTAGCCGATTACGCTTTTCCGATGCTGCGGAAAATAGCCATGTGCTGATTGCGTTGCACCTTGGCACTTTGATCTGTCTATCGTTTGAGCACACGATAGCACAAGACGTGCTACATAGATTTTTTCACAATAAGGAGATAGACACAGTACTCTTTGTCATCTCCAGGTCTATAAATCTTAAACGACAACATTTGTTGACATGTTTTGCACATTGAAAATTGAACTATCAACATGTTGGAGCCCGCAGGCTGCCGGCCATGTTGGGCTATATATATGGCTATCATCTAACACAGATGTTGGGTTCGTATATCATGAATTTACATATACCAGTTTTGGACCACAACATTTTTGTGAAACTGAAAGATATGTGATCAAGAGTGCATGAGTTCATGAAATGGCGGCATCCCAAACTACAGTAGTATAGAATTTCATTTGGACATACTCGATTCGTCCTAGTCGAATCTCACTGAGGAACATTTTTGGAATGTGTTTTTGCCGCAGAACGAAACAGCAATGGAAAGGTTGCCCTGGACTGCTGGGATCTACGGGTATTGAGCCCCAGCCACTCTCCATTTTGATGATCCCCCAAAATGATAGCCTCTGGTTATTTAACATAACCATGGAAAATGGTTCATTTATAGATGGTTTACCTATTAAACATGAGTGATTTTAACCATGGCTATGTTAGTACCAGATGATAGTTGGTTAATAAATTCTTCCTTTGTGATGGTTGATGGGTCAATAAACCCTTGCACTTCGGGGGCGTCCACCTATGGGGCCAGACTCTTCAAGTTGATGGAGGATGGCATCGTGCCACTCTACCGCATCAATATGTTCCGCTGCATCGATGGCCGCACCAAGGAGCGAAACTTCGATGAACATTGCCATTGTGCCATAAAACGTCCTGAAAGATCCTTCTATTCGGTGGGAAATGATGAGTTTGGCATAACATCGCCTTGCGTTTTTTTTCCAAGACTCAGAGGGATTTGTCTGGAGATATCCTACGCAGAGTTTTCAGCATAGCTCCTCAGTTCGGCAAACAGCTTATCATGATGGGATTCGGAACAGGATTCATGTGGCGGAGCTTGAGCTACCTCTACTAACCTCGGTCAGACTGATGTGAAACATATGTCGCTTTGCCAGATGCTTATTTGGTTGGTGCTTTCAAATTATGTTACTTTGATTTGTCTCAACAAAAAGCTACTCAAGACTCCACATGAATATAAGTAGCATTAATTAAGTCCTCTTTTTCCACATATGTTAAGCTATGGTTTGGTCACTTGATATTTTTAGGTTGAGCTACCTGGCATTTCTTAAGGGGCGACGTGAGCCAGGAGACCCCACCTCCGCCCAGCAGCATTGAGGAGGTGAAACGACTCTTCAATGAAGGCGCTGGCAGAAAGCCTGGGTTAATATGGGTTTAGTATGGGTTAATATGGGTTAATATGGGTTGCCCTCTGGTTATTTAACAGTTCGCCATGGTTTTTCGATGGCCCATAGAAATAGATGGTTTACCGTTCTTAAAAATGGTGGATCTTTGTCATAACCAGATGGTAATATGGGTTAATCATCGTTAATAATGGTGAATGATTTGAGGATACCCTCCGTACGTAACTCAGTAAACTATATAAGAGTTTAGCTGCTATGGTATTGATGAACCATGAATATGGATGATTTACCCATTGAGGTTTCCATGGCAATGCTAGTTTGCCGGAGGGTTTTCGTGGGTCTGGCACTTGGAGGTGGGTCTCTTTTCAAAAAACCGTTGGTAATCATGTGCAATTTGCCATGTCATACCCCAGTTATATACCGGTCATTTATGTGCTATATCGAATGGATGCTATTTGCTATCCCCACATATTCTTTTGTTCTCAATTTCAAGCCTCTATTTGAAACAAAAAGAGGATACAGATGGATATGACGGATACATTACCAACAGCTGGGGATGTTTAAACCACTGTTTCCTGGAGGTTTTCCTGAATCATCAACTCATATCATCCCATATGCAGTGAAGACCTGCCCGCTGTAGGCTGGAGTATCCAGTGGCTGCAACCACAGCATGAGCGCCTTGATGGCAGGTTTTCGGCAAGTTGAACAAAAAAACAACAAGTCCAAAAATAATGATTGTACAGTTCGAAAGTTCAAAAGATGATTCATCTCGGGCGAGAACTATTGCACGGCAATTTGGGGATTTCACTGTGGGATACATTACAGGATGTCAAAGAGCGGTCATGAGTCACGAGACCCCATGCTCCATCGGATGACAAGATAGCGTAATCATATTTGCTTGTGGATCTGCCGGTTCAAAACTATAGGTGCGAAAATAGATCATGAATACTGTGGGTAAAACAATAATAAACCATCCCCCAGCCATCACAATTTTTATAGGTGGTATGGTTACCATTCCCAATTGGGTGGTTTATTACCCATAGGATCCATGTATGGTATATATGCTAACATTGGGGGTATATTGATGGTAAATGTTACATAATGTTAGCATATATACCATACATGGATCCTATGGGTTATTGTTTTACCCCCCCATTACTGACAATGAACAAAACGTTTGGTTTTTGGGTGCAAATGTTGACCCACACCCATTTCAGGATGTCAGGTCTTCATTTTTCCGGCAGTTCTCCTCTGGAGCTCGCCTTATAAGCTCGAAGCACATAGCTATGTGGGATAGATGGACAACTCGGCAATTTCACATAGCTACCATAGCTATGGGATAGATGGCCCAATATGGCCCATTTAGATTCTATCAAAAGTTGGATGATCTACCTATCAAAAATGGTGATTTTCCAGTTCGCAAACTGTTGACTGACCAGTTGGATGATCGAAGGCATGATGCGCTCAGCACCCTGGTAGCCACTCTGGAGTCGCAGTTTGGATGCTTGGTGGGGGTCAATGCATATCTCACCCCAGGGGGTGCACAAGGCCGGGGCTTTTCGAAAGCTGTCGCCCGTTTGGATCTTTGGTGACTTGACAGAAAGCTAGAACGGTGGCGCAGAGTTTGGCTTGATTCAATTCATATTCAATCAGTTTCAATATCTAAAGAATATCTAAAGAATAGACATTTTGGATACTTTTTGGTAAACTAACATAACTATGGAAAATCACCATTTTGGGGCTATGGATGCCGTGGATGGCGCCAGGCTTGGCACCTCATTGGGATGATGTGGATGTGTTTGTCCTCCAGCTACTTGGTGGTTCTACACCACTGTGAGCCTGTGAATCAACGAACATCAGAAGCTATATATATAGGATATATGATATAGATGGATAATGATGGATATATGATATGGATAATGAATGAAAATGATGGATAATGATGGTTATTGGATGTTCTTTGGTCCATTTACTTTGCAGAAATTCAATTTAGAGCCAGCACGGGTTCATGACACCTTTGAACCAAATGCTTTCCCTTCCTTTCTTGCTTTATTACAGGGTTGTCTTTGAAGGTGAACTGTCCAGCCTGGATAGCAGAATGGATTTCTGTGTCAAATCCACCATTTCGGCCACCATTTCGGCCACCATTTCGGCTCAGGATGTTTGAAGATGGTGACATTGATCACATATATGTGCAATGACGGGTCGTTTTTCCGCCCCAGTCGAACCAGAGTGTAGTTTTGTGATGTTATGTGTAGTCGTCTATTCCTCTCGGTGATGTTCCAATATGATTTTCGAGCGGTGTGTTGTTCGTTGGCTTTTAGAACGAAATTAAGCAGATTGGTTTTCAGTTTTCCTCGCCAAAACTTGCCAACTTCCTAAAGAATCTAAAGAAAAGGGCTAGTTTCCCACCAGTGTCCTTTGATACCCTCTGGTAAACTAACATAACTATGGAAAATCACCATTTTTAATGGGAAAATCCCCTATAAATATATAGCCATTTTCAATAATAGCTATGTTAAATTACCAGAGGGTAATTGTCATGACGATTCATGTTTCAGACCAACATGTCCAAACTTTCCCATGAAAGATGCCAGGTCTGTGACCCCAATCATGGATGACTAAGATTTGCCTTTCTAAAAACATGTTTCTCATGGTCAATCAGACTAAAGCATTCCAAAACCATTCGAAACATAAACGATAAGTATCCTTATGTTCCCCGTTGAATCATCGTGATCATGCAATTTAGGTGTAACTTTATAAACCACCAGTTCTGATGGTGAAGCAGCAGCTATTTCTTCGGTCACCTTTAGAAGCCCATCATTCCCCTGCGCTTCCCCCCAGTGAGATGTGCTAGTGCATAACTTATCAAACTATAGTTTGATTAATATCCACCGTAAACCCACGAGTTATGATATAGTTAAATAAGGTAGTTATAAATCAACAGGGAGCCAGGATAAGTAACACCATCCAAAAAGAATATGTACTTATATAAAGTATCTAAAAGTACATAACATTCGACTAAAATAGAATCCATACATCATCATTATCATCTATATGTAACGGGGAAGCCATATTGAAGACCATGTGCTGCGCAATTGGCTGAATCCCCATGTTTTACGAGAGAGGCGCACATCAAAAACACTATGGGACATACAGCAACATATCGAAATCCCATCCAAGATCCCCATGAATCATGGAGAAATTCCATGACTGGTTGGTGGTTTCAAACATTTTTTTAATTTCCATAATGCATGGGATAATCCTTCCCATTAACAAACTCATATTTTTCAAGATGGTTTTTGCACCACCAACCAGATTACTATTAACCATCGTTAACCATATAATAACCATATATTATCCATATAATATTAACAGTATATTAAGCACATATTATGATGGTTTACCATTTCTTATCATCCACCAACCAGATGAAAATCGACATTTTCAAAGCCCAGGCTGGGCGGTTCCAAAGCCTGGACCTTGCACCGGCACATGACCAGCTCCCCCTTGGCGCCGGAGCAGCAGACCCTGCCGCGCTACAGCAGTGGCGATTTGGACCCAGAGACGCCTGGCGAGGGGGGTACCAACCTATGGCGGTTCTAAATGTTCTAAAGGGGGGAAGGATTTTTGTGCCATGGTCAAGTTATAGATTATGCACCCATATTTGGGGATGAGAAGAAACAACTCTATTTGTCATGGGGATTTACATATACATATATGTATCTGTATGTATATATATATATATTTATAAAACACATACACACCGACTGTAAGGATTCCGGTTATTGGATGGATGACCATAAACCATATAATATGTGTATGGTTTTGCCTGATTTTTTAGGGAAAAAACAAGGGCCATGGCTTATCACCATGCTCCCGATCAAACATGTTTTCTTTGAATGGTATATGGTGGTGTACGGGTATATGGTATACTCCATTCTCAGACATACCCACATGAAGCATGGGATTTTGCTGCATGTTGAGAACCACAAGAGTACGGGTTGGCGGCAATTTTAAGGAGGAAAGGATGAAGAATCAAGATCATCAACTTCATCAGCTGTTAATAATTTTGAACAAATCAACGGTTTATTTTTTGGCAACACATGGCAACCTTGAGGGATGAAAGGATTGGGATTGATGAGCCCATTTGCAAAACAAATCTTCAGAAATGAGATGACACAAACTTTTCTCTTGGTTTTGTTCTGGCATCATAAGTTGCATTGATTTGCAATGGATTGAACTGGATTTTTTTTTTTAGAATATCTTTGCCATGCAAACATGCATGGTATTTCTGATATGGGATGGGCCAGACCTTGCGGAAGTTCAGATTCTCCAACTGGGGTGATCCATGATGATCCATTGGGAGCTTTCCGTTTCATTTTGGGGTGGCTATTTCCAGGTATCATCCATTGAAGCTATTGGGATTTTCCATTTTAAATTATAAACCAACCAGCTATTGGGATACCTACATTTATGGAAGCCCCCATTGAAGTACTACATTTATGGAAACCCCTATTTCACTGCGCAATCATACGATGAAGATAAGTTTTGAATCGGAGACGGTTGCAACCGGCAAAGGCGAGCGTATGGATGGTATGGATGATGAAATTTGATGGATGATGGATGGCATGGTTCGAAGGAATGCCCGATTTGTTTGTTCTTGATTGTGCCCGAAATGGCAATCTAGCATGGCAATTGAAAATCCCCGAACTAAGAAAAGGTTTCTAACTGGGAACATCAACTAAAGATTGTGGAATTTCAAGGAAGCCAGGTTATATTTGATGACCAGAGGGTAAGTGGATGGGGTGATATGGGTATGAGTCAGACTGAAAAAAGTTAATTAATGGATTTGTGAAAATCTATTCAATTCCATCAATGTTAGCAAGAGGTTGTGTCATTGTTAATTAAGCATGAACCATGAGCCAATTGGTGATTGTTGATCCTTGTTAGCATTGACCAAACGGAAAACGGTGGGTGAGGCAATGGAGAAGTCTTTGTAATTTGCCGGAAAACATGACATCATGATAGGAGAAGATAAGGCTAGTGCCCGAGTAGAATTGGCATGCCATCCAGCTTTGGAAGATGTTGTACAATGTGGACCCTAGTTACAAGTTGGTTTATAAACACCGTTAACTATAGCTTTGCGATGCTATAAGTATCGCAAGCTATCTATAGCCCAAAGTATCGCTATTCTGGGGCCCCACCTTGTAGGTGGGGTTTATATTCATCAGGTCATTGTCCGAAGCGTTCATGCGGCCAAAGTTGTTGGCTGGTGACCTGCTTCTTGGCATTGCTCCCATGACAGAACTAGCGATGATATTTCCTAGAGAGACATTTGCATTCGCCGAGTTGCTAAGCAATGATAAATCCACTACCCTGTGAATCTATGTAAATAGAGGTTCCAAAATATAAAGCAAATCAAAGTAAAATTGCGAGGTCCAGTTGTTTGTCACATTGACTTCCATACTATTCAATGGCTTTGCATGGGGGAATCCTGGTAACTTCACATGCTGAAGCCTTCTCAGAGAGCTAAGGCTGTACTTCCCGCGCGGCATCATACACCACGCGCCGAACAAGGACACCAGCCATTTCCAGAAGTTAGTAGATAATGATATAAATAGATAATAATAGATATACCCTCTGGAAGTGACTAACATAGCCATGGTATAGATGGCCCATAGAAATAGATGGTTTACCTATTATAAAAGGTGATTTTAACCATGGCAAACTGTTAGTCATAACCAGATGGTAATAGGTATACATCCTGATATATGATTGAATCAGGAGGAATTCGCTGACCGGTTACCAGGTTGATGAATCGTTTTGGACAGGAGGACAAACATGTTTCGACGTGTTTATTGCTTCTTAAGATTGAAACCACCCAGCAAATTACATGTTGTCCATTATCCCATGATTTTGAACATTGCCCGACGTGTCTGAATCCCAATGGGTCCGTTCCTATATCTTAAGTGTAGTATCTGGGGAACTAACTCATTGACAACTTATTGACAACTGAGCTTCCAACACAGCGTCCTGGTTTCCTTCTTAGCGTCGACATGGCATATTCGGATGCGCATCCTTATTGCTAAGTGGATGACAACTTGTTCCTTATATGTATATATGCATATGGATATATATATATATATAATATTATATATGTATAAAATTATATATGTAAAATAGGCAGATAGATATTTCTGGCTGCATCCTTTGAGTAGTTACATAGTTAATCATCGTCTACTCATGTTTTTTTTTCACCACTTGCCACAGGACAGTTCTTCGCCCTCGGTTCATTTGACCATCTCGACCTTTCAGCGGCAGACGCTCTATGACTTGGTCCAGAAGACCTTCGAGGAGGCCGTGCCACCGTTGATGGGACCTTGGGGTGGAGGCTAAGGTCCTGCAACGGACACTAGATTTATTTGATACTTAACAAATTCATCATCATCGTCATCATCATCGTCATCATCATCATCATCATCTTCATTTACGCATATATCTATCCATCTAATTAATCTAATCTAATCTCATCGCATCTCATTACATCTCATCTCATCTAATCTATCAATCTATTTGACTATCTATCTATCTCACTATCTATTTGTCTATCTATCTATCTATCTATCTATCTGACTATATATCTGTCTGTCTATCTATCTATCTATCTATCTAACTATCTATGTATCTACATATATATATACTTAATTTACGTACGGCTGTATTTTATATATATATATATATCTTTGTGTTTGTGTCTGACATCACTTGCGCGAACATTTGGAGTTGTGGATTGTCTTCCGCAGAATCTACCATGGTCATCCATGGTCATGTATTCATCACTAGGCACCAAATGAATGGCCTAGCCTTTGGTCAGGCCATGTCCGAGTTGTGGGAAGAGGACGAGACGCTGCGTCGGGCGCTCCCCTGGAAAGCCTTGACCCTTCAGGCTCCACAAAAGGAGATGAGGTGCCTGCAACAAGATGTACGACTCAAGGAAGCACAGAGGTACACAGAATATGTGTATAAATATAAATAGCTACACTGTTTACATATAGACATATACACTATATAGATAGATAGATAGATAGATAGATAGGTGTGTGTGTGTGTAGATATGCTTACCTATTTATGCATTTTATATATATATATTATGTCTCTTTCTCTCTCTCCTTACGTTTCAGTCACATGCTGCATTGAAAGGACGTGTGTGTATGTGAAATCAGTTAAAAAAAACATTTGACACACACATTTAGATGACGTGTTATATCTCATATCCGTGACATCTTGCTCCGATGTTCCCTTCCTCCCCTCACTGCGCCAGCGCGGCTGTGGCAAAACAACTCAGACGTTTGGCGGATGCGGTGCGGACACCTAGTGATACCTAGTGTCACATTGCCATCTCGGCGCTCTTGGAGAATGAGGTCCGGCACCGCATATAGCAACTAGCATATGGTTTTGCTAGCTCTATAATATATATATAACATGGATAACTATATTGTAATCATGTATAATCAATATTGATGGTATTGTTTGTATAACCAACTTGGTTTGCTTTTTCAGATCTCTGTCATTGCCGAATCGCTGCTTCAAGTCCACCGTCTTTGAAGGGTAAATGGAACCCCGAGAGAAACCCTGTGGTAATTTCACATCGCTATGGAAAATGAATGAACATGGCCCAGTTATACTTTTTTTTTCCTGAAAATTGATGATATTCAATATTTTTTTGTATGTTTACCAGAGGGTAAAACCTCCATTTTCCATGATTTTTCCTATGGTTTTCCTATGGTTTTCCTATGGTTTTCCCATTAAGGTCGCCTTAGGCGTTCCATAGCCATCGCCTCAGGTCGAGGCCGAGTCCGCCACTGAGGGCCCCGGAGCTGTGGCCGCTGCTTTGGGGGAGCTCGGGATGGAGCCACTGGGCCTGGAAAATCCATGGGAAAATCCATGGGAAAATGGTTGGAAAATTGGTTGAGATTGGTGGTTTCTCCTGGAGTTGCCATGATTTTTTGGACAAAAATTGATGTCCTACCCGGTCCTACCCAAACATGGGATGAATTTCAAGTTTTCTTGGGCAACTTTGCATTTGGCCCCAAGGTTTGTGCGACATCGCATGCCCCCGCAGGTGCGAGAGGCCTGCGTGGAGCGCTTTCTGGGAATCACTTATGATATCATGGTTTGGGAGACTTCAGAAAATTCCACGTTGGGAACTGCATGGAATTATATATATATTATACATTATATATAATTTCCATTCTATATATTATATTTTATAATATATATATATATAGAGATAGAGATAGATAAATGATCATTTTTATCGAGAGGAATCGGGCAAAATCTGGATGAACACCAGGATGAGGTCCGCCTGGTTGGGCTGCGCGACGTGGTTTTTGTGGATGCCTCGGCCGTTGCCTTGCAGCCGATCTTGGAGGATGTCGATGAAGATGCGGCCAGGATGTTCCTGGAAAGCAACCCTTAAAACAGGATAGGAGAAGAAAAACATATGAGAAAACATGTCACTGATTGAGTAATTAGTGTTTTTGTTAATAGTTGTTGTTGTTCTTTTTTTGTCGGGGTTGCTGTATGGATGTGCATGTTGAGCTAGCTTCCGGGTTGGCATGGTTTCACTTATCCGAGGTTGGTATTACCCCGGAAGCTTACAATCATAGAGAAAGAGCATCACCCTTGACACCTGCTTCCGAGGCTGCATTGTGCGAGTAATGCGCGAAAGAACCACATGATGAACCATCCGCCAGAAACGACAGCTCAAGGCCTGCCCAGTGTCATCCGTCGGGCATGGTCCAAATGTTCAAAAAGCAGGGTTTCTCCGAAGGCATTTGGTTTTGCATATATAGATTCCATTTATCTACCTATTTATCTATCGATCGATCCATCTATCTATCTACCTATCCATCTATCCAAAGTGAGCATCAGGACATTGGGTATTTGAAGATTTGAGAGGTTTCCCCTTCCGGAACATCATCAATCTATGTGGGTTCACTGGATCATGCCCGAAGATTGACAGGTCATGAGGAGGCGGAGGAAGAGGCAATGGAAGCAGACGAGGCGATCAGTCACATATGGTGACAGTGAGTAATGTGTTTTTCGGTTTGGGGATATATGATGATATAGTATGATATATTGATATAATATGTGTTTACCCATTGCAACAGAAGCATTTCAAAGTACATATGTGCTATCCATAACTATTCATAGACATCAGGTGTCTTTCTTAAAGCCAAAGCCACTGCAATATTCGGATGAGTCAAAAACCACTGTTCTTTTTTCCATCAAAATAAAGGGGATGAACCTTCTATAACCTTCTGCAGCTGCAGCAAAGGCGTGGGTCGTAACCGTAAGGTCCAAAGGTGGGATGAACTGGGTTCCAAGCATGTTGTAACATGTTGCAACCCCAGAGCACCAAACATGTAATACTACCATCACATATATCTTATATTACCATTGAAACTTGCCGAAACTACATTGTAAAGCAACCCACACTAAGAAAGATAGAACAGTAAAAATCACACAATAGTGAGTGATATCTTACTTTTTCACTTATCTTTGTGGATTTCTAGGATTACTATAGAATATCGGGAGATATTTCACTACAGCACAACCAAGCCTAGATGGTGTCTGGCAGGTGCTGCCCGACCCTGGGCAGATCCTCAGTGGGACCGTGGCAAATGCCTTGAGGTGCAATGACCATGTTGGGGATGTTGGGGTAGGATGATCATCCTACATAGCTGGTTGGAAAAGCATAGGAAAACCATAGGAAAATGAGAAAATCATAGGAAAACCATAGGAAAATGGATGTTTACCCTTTGGTAAACATACAAAAAACTATGGAAAGATCCACCATGTTTAATGGGAAAACTCCCTATAAATGTACCATAATCCATTGCTATGTTAGTTTACCAGAGTGTAGGGTGTTGAGGTGTTTTTGTCCATGTGGGATCTTGGGAATGAATTCGGATGATTTCGGATGATGTCATGTGGGAGAGAAACTTGAACACTTTTAGGGGGCTGCTGATTTTGGTCTATTTTAAGGTCATGTTTGACCCGTGCTTAGCAGTAAGACATCCCATCAAATCGGGATTTAATTGGTCGGATCAGCCTCCCAAGGCCCTACTGGTTGGTTGTAGAGGCTGTTGCGACCCATTCTTAGAAAAGATCAAGAACAAGAAGTAGTACAAGGTGGTGCCTCCCAGTTACGTTTGTTGGTTTATAACCCCCATGAAAACTATAGATAAATGATATACATAGCCATTAAAAAAATACCATTTTGAGTAGGTCAATCAGCTATAAATGGGCCATCTACTGCTGTCTCCGAGGGTTTGAAGTCGACCAGCTTGCTGCCATTGAATCATCCCTTATATTCCATTCTATCCATCGAACTTGGTGATTCTCGACCTTATATTATATATACATACATTGTATGTACACATATATATATATATATACATATAACTATGTTCATTTCGTGTATATATGTATCTATCAAACATACAAGTTCTATTTTCATCACTATAATATAATACTACAATCATTATAACCCATTCTGTCACCATCATCTCACCATTAATTAGTATCCATTATATATACCCTTGTTTGCCGCCGTTGTTTTCCTATCACCAACCACTCCAGCCATGGCGAGGTATTTGTGCAACTCTGAGCCAAAGACATTGCAGGAGTTGCTGAAGGAGGCACGAGAGGAAGTCCCCACCTGCCAGGTGAGGGTCTCTAAATTTTAACAAAGGTGCAACTCCTTCATCTCCTTTGCCAGCTCCGGATGCAGTGCAGTGCCGAACTCCAAATCACCAGCCCAGGATGCTGTGGACTGCGCCTGGACCCGAACTGCAAATCGCCAGCGCAGGCTGGACCAGAACTCATGCCAGAGAGAGTGCCAGACAGAACGTGAGATAGAATGCCAGTGAGAATGCCTGATAGATTGCCAGATAGAATGCCATATAGAATGTGAGAATAGATGCCAGGTAGAATGCCAGAATGAATGCCTGGAAAGACGCCAGACAGATCTAGATAGGATAGAATGTCAGAATGGATGCCGGATAGAATGGAATAATATATGTCAGATAGAATGCCAGATAGCATGTCAGATGATAGATCTAATGTCAGAATATATGTATGCCACATATCGCCCAGACGGCATGTCAGAACCTATGTCAGAATGGTGTGTCAGGGTGGGGATCGCTCAAGGACAGTAATTGATTATTGATAATGATTATCACCTAATTGGGGAAACCTCACTCCAACTATGACTCTATAATAAACAACTAGCATTTGGGGACGGCAAATATACAACCCACAAAAATGGTGATGACTTGGGGATAGTTCATGAGTTCATGGGATTGAGTTTACTACATTACATTGTGACGTTCAGCCAACTTCATGTGTGTCTTTAGTATGGGTCCCATACTTCCCAGGATCCAAATGGCCCTTTCACAGGGAAAATTCATGAAGATTATGATGAACACCATTCAATGGATTGGTTTAAGGGAAAATCTACAGGAAACCATAGATTTTCCCATTAAATATGGGGCTTTCCTGTAAATTTTCCCTTAAACCAATCCATTGAACCATAAGATTTTGGGGTTTTCTTCTGAATTTTCATGTCCTCCAGTTTGTGGTTTCGCGCCAGGCAGAGATACCAGAGGGCAGCTGGCAGGAGGTCTGCCAAGTGCTCACGCAACTGGCTGCCATGGGCTTGGCGAAGGTCAAGGAGGCAGGGGGGGTGAGGGGTGCTGTGCTGGATACCTACCAATAAACATCGAAAAAGTTGGGATGATTACATGGGGATTATTAATGATTATAATTAATGATTAATGATTGATGATTATTGATGAAATACAACATTCCATGGGAATGATTGATGATTATTGATAGAAAAGGACACCTATGGTATTCAATAGTATTCTAATTACAAACCAACAAACATAAATGGGGGGGGCGCCACCTTGTAAGGAAATTTATGAGGTTTACTGTTCGGACATGATCTACACGTGGTGGAGTTTCATGGGTACTGCGGATCTATCTTAGTTATATAACTGGAGGAACATGTAAGTGGGTATGGGGCACGTTATGCCGCCAATTCTGGGGGTCATCACCCATCACCCGTTGATGGGAGTTCAACCACCAGTATTGCAAATAGTCATATCACCCGCAAAAAATACGAACATAGCCGATTAATATGTGATTAGTGTACGTGTCCAATGTGCTGTTGTGAGCTTCAAGCAGATTTGTGGTGATGACCCCCAATGACGAGCATGTTCTTGGGATGGAAACCAGGTTTGCGTAAGATGTGGGATGGGCACCCGCACGTTTGCCGAAAGCCTGGATGACAATCAGACCCAATAAGATCCAATAAGTAGTTGTGGATAGTTGTGGTATTCCAATGTGCGTATTACACCGCTCAGTTGGCCGTTCGCATACAGTCACGCAACTGGAAATTTAATGTTTCAATATTGATGATGATTGATGCTAAATCACATTTTCTTCAATATGTTATTCCCATATGTAGATTTCATTTCGACTCACCTGGCATGTTCATCGGTTCTTTGGGGGGCAAAAAACCCGTCGTCCTGCAGACGCCGGAAGCGAAAGCATCGCAGCCGTGCAAGGCGAAGAAACGAAGGAGAGCTGCCATCGGGGGAGAAATTTGGCAGATAAGACGCCTTCTGACATGTTTTATTTTTCCATATATAGGGAATAATAACCACATTTGACTTTCATATTTTTCAGAGGGGTTGAAACCACCAACCAGTTGTGGGATTTTATTTCATACGGTTTATTGCGCTGGAATCCTTCAGGAATGTCATATTTAATTGTTGGATTGATCAGCATATGATTACAGTTATGGATGGATAAAACCAGTTACCCTAACTATGAGCGTTTGTTACACAGCAATGGAAAATCACGTATTTTGTCCACGGTTTCCATGGTTACGTTTAAAAATCGCAGGGTAATATTATGAAGGTCTTATCCCCCACCTGACAGGCGAGGTTCCCTGGATTTTAACAAGACATACCCACTTCCTTCAGCCTGCCTTCCGCCCTTCTTCCTCGCCAATATGCCAGCTTGTTTTATAGAATGCCAGGTAGACTGTCAGAATATTTGTCAGATAGAATGCCAGATAGAAGGTCAGAAGATATGTCAGATAGAATGCCAGCAAGACTGTCAGAATAATAGTCAGGTGGAGATCACTCGAGGTAAAGCATTTTTCGTGTGGCAATATTGCAATAGTGTGATTTATATTTGGAGTTCTATGCTGTTCATGGGTTACAAAGGTGGTCTTAGGGGAAATCTGTGAATCTGTATGTTATGCGTTGGGATTGTGAAGTGTACATGATCCGTTTCCCCTATTATGAAATACACCCCCAATAGAAACCCTAGTGTAGACTTGTTTTTTTCATGTTGGTGGACTATTGTACTTAAGTAATCTTAAGTGAATTTGTTGGAATTTTCTGGGGATGAGCTTACATGGATCCCCATGAACAAAATGTGTTATCCAATACCAACTTGAACAGATGGCCATGTGATCACGGCGCAGGTATCACAGCAGCATAGTCATGGCATGCTTAAAACTGGCACAGTTGCCTCTTGAGTTCCTACGTACTTCTATCATCCCCTACCGAAATTTGACAATCCCAATCCTGCCTGGGAACCATGTGAAAAACACGATGAGCCTTTTTGATCCTTTCTGTATCATAGAATGCTCCCAGCAAAAAATGTTTGAAAAAGTCGGTTGCCAAATGTCGATCATTTTCTGGTTGGTGGTTTGGAACATGGCTTTTATTTTCCATAATATATGGGATAATCCTTCCCATTGACTAGCTAATCGCGGGTCCTCTGCACGGCTGTCGAAGCACTCAACTGCAAAGTGGCAAATTGACTAGTATTTTTCAGAGGGGTAGGTATACCACCAACCAGTTTTGCATATTGCCAGAACAATTTGGAAGTCTTCCCACCCTAAGGGGCCAAAGTTGAGATTTTCCAGGATCAAACAGTGACTGGCGCCGGCAACGCACAAAAAAAAGGGACGCGACGCAGCAGACGAATGACGACAACCAACCTTTTTTGTTGGTGGGTGTTTGGAGGTTTTAGGTGAGGACCATCCATGTTGGTTGTAGATTGAATCACCCAAAGAATGTGTGGATTTGTTTGGACGCATGATTTGTTTGTGATGGAACTGGTCATCTTATTTCTAGGTTCAATGAAAATGGTGCAAACAGATACCCTCAAGATGCAAAATGTGTACTCCAACTAGTTGCCGTTGTCCAGGGTCTCTTGTTTTGCTTTAACTGGGACAGTAGCATTCCTTGCGTTTGGGAAATTCCATAGGTGAAATGGCCCATTACCAAATCGATACGATCCCTTCTGTTCTTAATGGGCTAGGCGGCTAATAATTCTGTGCATTGAATCGACTCAAGCGCTTCGTTAAATAAAGTGAATCTGAGAGTATTTGGGTGGAAACCAGCTCAGATTTCCAATCTCTGCCACTTTGTGCTTTCATGCTTGGGTTCAAACCTCATGGCCATAAAATGCCTACCTTTGTGCATGGCACAAGGTCCGGGCTGGGCATGTTGACCTTACGGCAGATGATGCAAGAGGCAAGGGTGGGATTATTTGGGGTTCCTATTTTGGATGATCCTTCTTCCAGGAAGTTGCTTCAAAAACCATGCTTGCAATGCTCAAAGTAACTTGCAGTTACTGTGGGCAACCCAATGCCATAAACCTACCATTTGGGGGGATGGTTTATACCACCCATTTATTGTGATTTTTTGGATGGTTTATTGTTGGCTTTACCACATTGAATGGATTTAATTAAATGGAGATGATGCCGGTCTCATGGACTTACTAGATTCACTAGATGTTTTTGTTCACATAACTGGAAACTCCGAGCACCCAAAAGCTTAGATGGTTTGGGATCCTCAAAATTACTATTGCATCGTGGGTCCTGAATTCACCACCCCCAGAAACTCCCAGCCATATGTGGTCATCCAGTCATCCATTCACAAAAACGCATCGTTGATAGATGATAATGCTATAGATGACTATAGATGATTCTAGATCAACAGATTCTAGATTTTAAGATTCTAGATTTTACAACTTACAACATCTTACAATTTCTAAATCCACTACTAATCATGAAACATGTTCAGAAAAGCTGGCCCTTTCCACCTGTATGGTTCCAAGCGCCGAAGCGCCGAAGCGCAGGCGCTGGCAGTGGTGGATAAAAACTGGGACGGCGAGCTGAACTTCGAAGAGCTCTGCTGCTTCCTGGCCGTCTACCGGGGCTCCGAAGGCTTCACTAAGGAGGAGGCCCGCCGGGTTGCGCAAGGCTGCGCCGTTGAAAGATGGTGGGAAATCTGGTGGGTGAAACATGGAAAGATGCTGGAAACTGGGAGAAGATGCTGGGAAATATGGTGGAACAGATGTTGGAAAAGGATGTTGGTGGGAATGGTAGGTGAATGGCTTGTATCTTAGAGATGTTTCTACCGCAGAACAATGGAAACGTTGATGCCATATACAACTTAATCATAATGCATCTGTAATGTAATGATATTGTAGCGTATAATTAAGGTGCATATTCTCAATTTGGGCGCATTGTAGGATCGCGTTGGAAGGTGAAAATCGATGCGCCGTTAGAGTCTGAGAGCTAGTCGGACTAGTCGGATCACCCCTGCGACGTTTCTATCTTTTTTGGGATATGGCTAGCGGCTATGCATCATACCATCATTAGATGCTCTTCACCATTCAAGTGAGAAAAAATGCACCGGTAAAAACGAGTGAAACAATGTAGTTAGACGTGTTATGTTGGGCGCCAATTCTGTAGAATTCTGTAGGCCCATACTGAATCATACCCTGGTGCTGTCGACTGAATCACTCTCCAGGTTGAAAGCCTAAAGAGCCTTTTTGACTCCGAAGCTGTTGGGTCGCCAATTTGGGGTGTGGCATCGACAAAAACTGAGGACTGGACCCTGAGTTGCGTGAAAGTAAACTGAGCCAACTGTATCAATTTGGTGATATTAAGCAATGTACCAAAACCAAAAAAAACAACATGTTGTTTGCGATCCGGTTTGGGCCGCCTAAGATTTTCCATTGCAGCACCCAAGGTCCAAGAGGAAGAAAAGCCAGGTGCAATGGGAGATCAGCGGGTTCGCCATAATTTGGCCCTCAAGTTATCAAGTTATTCATTGAAACCAGAGGGAAACCAATGATTTTAGATTTTGGGGTGCGCCCAGCTTGTTATCTTCAATGTATTTGGGAACATCGGTGAGTCTAGCAACTTTTTGTTGAAACATATTCTGACCTCGATTTCTTATTTGGACATGTTCATCACTTTTGTCTCAGAGGTAGCAAGCCTTTCCTTTCCACAAAAATTGGAATCAAAGCTGATGACTCTTATTTATCCCCCCCATTGACTCAGTGCCTACCTGCATACATAGACATACTCCCCCTTGTAGACTGCTATATTTATATATTGTATGCTATTATTTTATTTTATACCAGTAGTACCGCACAAGGCGATGGCGGGAGTTTCAGAATAGGAAACCTGTAGGAGAGTGCGGTTGTTGTGAATCACGGATGGCAGCGCGAATCCACTGATGGACTGAAAAGGTGCTTGGATTTTTTTTTGGAGTGGTTGCAATGGTTGCAGTGGTCACCTGGTCGGTCACCTCACTCACAACTGCTGGATGTAGTGTGTTGTAGCGCAGCTGTAGTTGTAGTTGTAGCGTCGTGGAGTTGAAGTTGTGGTGTAGTGTAATTAGTGTAGTGTAGATGCATTTGTGGTGGTGGAGGGTGTCGTGTAATGTAATGTAGGGTGGTGTAGTGTAGTCTAGTGTAGTGTAAAGTAGCGTAGTTGTAGCTGTAGTTGTAGTTAGTGTAGTGTAGTGTGGTGTGGTGTACTGTACTGTACTGTACTGTACTGTACTGTAAAGTAATTAGTGTAGTGTAGTGTAATGTACTTAGTGTAGTGTAATGTAGTGTAGTGTTATGTAGTTGTAGTTGTAGGTGTAGTGTGGTGTAATTGAGTGCAGTGTAGCGTAGTGGAGTGTAGTGTAGTTGTAGTTGTAGTTGTGTAGTGTAGTGTAGTGTAATTGAGTGTAGTGTAGTGTAGTGGAGTGTAGTCTAGTGCAGTGTAATGTAATGTAGTGTAGTAATTAGTGTGGTGTAGCATGGTGTAATGTAGTGTAGTTGTAGTTACGTTGTAGTTGCAGCTGTAGTTGTAGCTGTAGTTGCAGTTAGTGCTGTGTAGTGTGGTATGGTGTAGTGTAGTGTGGCGTACTGTAATGTAAAGTAATTAGTGTATTATAGTGTAGTGTAATGTAATTAGTGTAGTGTAATGTAGTGTAGTGTTATGTAGTGTAGTTGTAGTTGTAGTTGTAAGTGTAGTGTGGTGTAGTGAGTGTAATTGAGTGTAGTGTAGTGTAGCGTAGTGGAGTGTCGCATAGCGTAGTGATTGCGTAGTGTAGTTGTAGTTGTAGGGCGTAATTGTAGTTGCAAGTGTAGTGTAATGTAGTGTAGTTTAATTGAGTGTAGTGTAATTGAGTGTAGCGTAGTGGAGTGTAGTGCAGTGTAGTGTAGCGTAGTGTAATGTAATTAGTTTAGTGTAGTGAGGTGTAATGTAATTAGTGTAGTGTAGTGAGGTGTAATGTAGTGTAGTTGTAGTTGTAGTTGCAGTTTTAGTCGCAGTATACCCTTTACATTTCCTCTGTAAACTGGTTATACCCAAGTATCGTTTAGAACGTTAATTTTAGTCAGCCCAGGTGTGTACACAAAGTGTTCAAAAATCTACGAAAAAAACACTGAGTTTATAGAAGGCTATTTGTAAACCATTTGTAACTAAGCCAACATGTGGCTTATGACCCATTCAGGTCCCCCCTAGGACCCTGATTTTATAGAGAGGCTATTTTTGGCATGGTTCTGATTTGTGGGCCCATAGATTCTGATTTTATAGTGGGCCAGGTGGATTACTTTAAGATACTCTAAGCGGAAAAAGGTGTTCCAACTCTAACCATGTCCCTATTATAGAGATTTGGTTTTTACAAGCAAGCATTTGCAACTATGTGGTGCTCTGTTTTTTCTTGATTTTATAGAGGCGTATTTCTTGCATGCTATTTTTTTCCTGATTTTATAGTGACTATTTGTGTGCACCCATATGGTGGGACCCAGGTCCTTTTTAGAATGGGGCACACTGGGTGACAGTTGAAATTCACAACGAGATGTCGTAGTTGTAGCTGTAGTTGTAGTTAGTGTAGTGTAGTGTGGTGTAATGTAGTGTAATGTAATTAGTGTGGTAGTGTGGTGTAATGTAGCGTAGGTACGTTGTAGTTGCAGCTGCAGTTGTAGTTTTAGCTGTAGATGTAGTTGGTGTAGTGTAGTGTAGTGTTGTATGGTGTAGTGTAGTGTAGTGTAATGTAATTAGCGTAGTGTAGTGTAATGGAGTTGTAGTTGCAGTTGTAGTTGTAGTGGAGTGTAGTGTAGTGGTGGTTGTAGTTTAGCTGCTACAAAACCTCACGTTTTGCTCACTTTTGACAAGGTGCACAATCCTCTGCGCCTGCCACACAAAACGACATCTGAACGTCCAAAAGTGCTCCCTAACCCTCAGTTTTTTGCACTTTTGACTTCGAAATGTGCTTCGCGCCACAACGGCGTGCACTTTTTCGACATCTCAACTTCCAAAAGTGGTCCGAACATGGTGTGTTTTGTACATTTTGACTTCGAAATGTGCTTCGCGCCACAACGGTGTGCACTTTTTCGACATCTCAACTTCCAAAAGTGGTCCGAACATGGTGTGTTTTGTACATTTTGACTTCGAAATGTGCTTCGCGCCACAACGGTGTGCACTTTTTCGACATCTCAACTTCCAAATGTGATCCGAGAATGGTGTGTTTTGTACATTTTGACTTCGAAATGTGCTTCGCGCCACAACGGCGTGCAACTTGTCATCTCTCATCTGGCCAGATGGCTCCGCACCCGCCGCTTTAGCGAGCCTACTTTTCGATCCTCCTGAGCCACAAATCATTGGAA